TGCATGGCACAGCAGACCTCTCCTGTCTCACCCACTGCTCCTCTCAGCAGAATTTTTCAATCTTCCTGATCTGCTCCTAACTCTGAATTCTGACAAATCCTTTCACCCCCTATCCCCTGTACCCCTGGCTGCAGGGGTATATGTAAAAATAAGTAAATATTTTTAAATAAATATTTAATATTTTTTAAAGATTTACTTATTTATGCATACAGAACTGGGGTACAAGCCAGAGGTGCAGAGGCAGTGAGAGGATACACTAGAGATTGAGTGAGCAGCAGAGTAGGCAGATTTATGAAGGACACTGCTGAAGGGAACAGCAGGCTGGTCAGGGGAGGTCTGCCATGCCATGTGGATCACATCTGGGGTCAGGGATCGAACTTGCACTGAAGCAGCTGCTGCTCACTTGCAGTGCTGCCTCTTAACCCATTGAGCCACCAGGGAGGACCCTAAATAAATTTTAAAAAATAAACAAAAGGTAAGGGCCCCCTGGTGGTGCAATATGTTAAAGCACAGCATTATGAAGCTATCCACACCCACTTCTTCATGGAGTTTGATCCCTTTGCAGGGCAGTGACCCACATGGTGCAGCAGACCTCTCCTATCTTACTGGTTGCAACCCTAAGAAGTGTATTTCAGTAGGTCCTCCAGTTGTGCAACCTACTGTCTCACCCCCTACCACTACCAGCCCCCCCCACACACACACACACACACACACACACACACACATCTCTGGACTGTACAGTAGTTCTTGTATGCATAAATGAATAACATCTAAAAATAAAATAAAATGAATAACCATGGTAACTATCTCTAGTGGTCTAAAGGCATTAAATGTCAACAGAGATTGTAAATGTTATTTTGCCTTCAGTTTCTACTCTAAAGAATAGGAAACAGGGCCCTCCCTAGTGGTGCAGTGGGTTAAAGCACAGCACTAAGAAGTTTAAGCCACTGCCGCATGAGTTCAATACCCGCCTGCCCCAGAGGTGACCCACATGGCACAGCAGACCTCTCCAGACCCACCCGCTGCTCCCCTCAGCAGTGTACTTCGTCGAACTGCCTGTTCTGCTCCCCACTCTGTCCCTGGTGAATCCTCTCACCCTCCACATCTCTGGTCTGTACCCCAGTTCTGTATGAATTAATAAATAAATCTTAAAAAAATAGGAAACAATATAGAAAGGGAATTTGCTAATCAAAACAATTTACAATGATAATCAACAGCATCCAGTGGGAGCTTATGGGATTAGTGCAGCTCTGAAATTTCCCACCCTTTCATTATCTCCTTCCTACAGAGGTGGTTTTGAGCAAAATATGCTTGAAAAGTCACCCAACTTGTACATTCTGGTTCTTTATTTGTCATCAGATAAAGAGAAAGAAAATAGAAATGACATGACAATTTATCTATTCTCAATTGCAAAATAATTTGTCTAAGGTAAGTATTTTCATTTTGACATTCTTTAAAGAGTCTTCCATATCTTCTTCACACAGACCCCACTCATCTACAGGCCTGGACAGTGTGATCTACAGGTCTATCAGTTCACATTTACTAGGAGGACCAATGATGAAAAACAAAATTAACCCTAAAAAAGCTGAAAAGAGGTTTAAGTCTTAGTGTTATCACCTCCATCACAACTATAACCTGAAATCAATCTACCTCTCCTGCTCCCCTCAGCAGTGTGTTTCAGTCAATCTGCTTGTACTGCTCCCCATTCAACTCTCCAGAGAATTATCTCACCCCCTGTTCCTCTGGCCTCCACTTTAGTTCTTCTACACAAAAATAAATGAATATTTAAAAAGACATAACACTAAGATAATACTTAAGAACTAAGTAGTTTTAAAAACTATTTTACATGTCTTATAATCCTGAAGCTCTTCATGTATTGTTCTTATTGTAGATGACTGTTTCAAAGAAATATGTTCCATTCCATGTCAGACATTGCCATTTCCACAAAAGTAGAATTGTAAACTTGCTAATTTTGTTTTTCACCTGAAAGTATTCTGTGTGCTGTCTCCTGGATTTTGGCAGCTTTCATGTCTGATGGTCCCTGTGTGGGACACATTTGTCAAAAGCATGGCTTGATACACATATTTCACCCAGTTGGAGGAGAAGGACTCCTTAGAGGAAGGACAGATTCTTGAATTGCACAGATATCCAGGGTGTACTTGCTAAACCTCACAGCCACCCAAGTATCTCTGATTTGTCCTGGCTGAGTGCCCAGGAGAGAAAAGAATTTTAGCAATTCTTCAGCCCACATGGCAAGCACTGAATGATTTTACTGTGCAAACACTAAACAATTTCATGGAAAAGGAAATGAGAAGTATGTTTTTTTTTTTAATGGTATTTTCAAGGCTTGGTAAGGTGAGTCTCCTGTTCATCAACTTTGATAGTGTTCCTTTAAAAATCAGCAACTCACCTCCATTGATTTTCAACTTCACACTTTCTTCAAAGCTGCAAATCTATTTTTAGCCTGATGGATAGAGACAATTAAAGGAGAAGAACATCCACAGAGATGAATGCCTCAAAATACTGTTAAATTGCTTTAGAACAAAGTGAAAAGTTTTCAAAGTCACAGGAATGGTGTAATGTGATTTCGCCAAAATTTGGGTAGCTCTGACTTAAATCTTCCTTAGGATTCTTTCAATTGACTATTAAATCAATGGTTATTCTATTTGCCTCTGAACCTGTTGGGAGACCATTGGCTTAAAACTCTGGACAGTTATATATGTATAGAAGTACATGTTGTTCTTGGTTATCTAGGTCTCATCATTTAGTGTACACTCAGCAGTTAGAGACTGGTTTTATTAGGAACTTTAAAACCATGTGATTTTAGCCTTAAAAGGTTCTATGAGAACTTATTAGTTTGCACTCATAGGATCAGAGAGCAACCCTGATATCATTCTAGAAAACTCTAGAATGATAAAAGTATACATTTTATTCTACTTAAGAGATAGGATTAAATTTGATCTTTCTCTGTCCAGTATTTCTTCACTAGTTCAATTTTTTTTATTATTTTTTAAAGATTTATTTATTTATTCGTACAGAACTGGGGTACAGGCCAGAAATGTGGAGGGTGAGAGGATTCACCAGAGACAGAGTGGGGAACAGAACAGGCAGATCGACGAAGTTCACTGCTGAAGGGAGCAGCGGGCGGGTGGGTCAGGAGAGGTCTGCCTCACCATGTGGATCTCCTCCAGGGCAGGCAGGGATCCAGCTCATGTGGAAGTGGCTTAAGCTTCTTTGTGCTGTGTTTTAACCCGCTGCACCATCAGGGAGGGCCCCACTAGTTCAAATTTTTAAAGTAGAGAAGTTTAAACAGGGCATTTCATTATATAACCAGACAGTGTTTTCTGTTTCCTCAAATAACTAACAAAGACAATATCATTCCATAAAAAACACTGGAATTTATTTGATCAGATTTCTTTGTAGGGGTCATTCAAGGGAAAGAAATGGTCATGCAGTTGCTGAGAGTTCTTCAGGGACCAGGGATGAAAACATCAACATTGCATATCCTGTAGCAAAGCCTGATTCCTGCCCAGGCAGCAACTATCTCTTCCTTTCTGTATTCCTGAGTATCATCCCAGTAATTGCAGGAACTAAAGAAAAACTGAAGAGATGTGTCCTGTGGGACAGTTTCACTATAGCCCTCAGGAAGTTCCACCCATGATTTGGCTCTTACATTATTCTAGAAGTTTCCTTTCCTACCCTTCTACTTTCTAAGTTAAGTCCAAATTTCACATTTCCTCTAAAATCTCTGACAATAGTAGAGAACAACTTCAGATAATGTCTTGTCAATTAGATTTATAGTTCATTTCACACTGTTTGATGTACAGTTCTCTAAATGGCAAAATTCCACTTTGTTACATGTTTTTGCTTGGTGATCTAGCAAGACTATGTAATTATAAATTTTAGAGTTCATGTTATCTATTTATTTATTATTCCTCACCCATTGTTCTTTGTGCACTTTAGCTTTCTTATTATCATTCCTCATCACTGTCAACATTGTTCAACCACATGAAGATGCTTTGAGAATCAATTTCTTTCTCATTGTGTTCTCACTATATTCCTGCTGCAAGATCTGTTCCAGTCTTCTGTGTGAAGCTTACATCATGTTGACATGCATTCATCAATACTTAGCACCAATCAGCTCATTGTGTTGTTGCTGATCCCCAGTAAAAGAGCACTTCTACCCCTGCTGAAGTTAGGTGTGCCCAGGTGACTTCATTTAGCCATAGAATATAAGTGGAATTAAGGTTTATCATTTCCAGGTAGTAACTTTTAAAAGTTAACACTCTATATGCTGTGCTTCCTTCTTGTCATGGCGTAAGGTTTCCTGCTAGGATCCCTGAAAGGGGACAATGTACAAGGACACCTGACAAGCATGACATATTGCTTGTTACTGTGTTAATGAAATATCAAGTTGTTTATTACAGCAGCATTACTCAGTCCATCTAAACAGTAAAGTTGACTTAATAGCTATCCTTGGGCCTCCTTGGTGGTTTAGGAATGAAATCTCAGCACTGTCACAGCTACAGCCTGAGTTCCATTCCCTGCCAGGGGGGTGACCCACATGGCACAGCAGACCTTCCTGTCTCACCCACTTCTCCTCTCAGCAGTGTGTCTCAGTACATCTGCCTATTCTGTTCTGTCTTGCTGAATCCTCTCACCCCTCGCACCTCTGGCCTACATCTCAGTTCTTCTACATGCAAAAATAAATAATTTAATATTTGTCCTTTGCATGCCCACAGCATTTTGTCTTGCCACTACTCTGACACAAACCCCATTTCCTGTCCATCTTTCTGGTAGACCATAATCTCCATGAGGATGTGGCTTGTATCCATGTATCCTCCAAGCCTACCGCAGAATTTGGCATATATCATCCTCTCCAGAGATACATGTTGAATGAATAAATGTATTCAGCCTCATGCTAAATAGAACCTGAAGTTAACACTGCCATTCTTGGGTTTGTGTCCAATCCCACTGTGGCTAACCATGAGTCTACTCACAGTTGTGACAGGTGGCACCAGTGTAGCTTGTATCACTGCAGTTACAGTAGAAGGTTGTCCAAGACTGAGAGCAGCTTCCTCCATGCTCACAGTAGTTTGGCAAACACCTAATGGGACAAAAAAGTAAACACAAACGTAATAATCCAAATCAGTTGAAGTAAAGGGCAAAATGAAAATATGTTATATATGACCACATAGGTTAAAGTGGAATTGGTCTTCTAGAGTGCTATACCTAAGTCAGACTTGAATGATACCAAAATCACACAATAGCCAGTTCCATCCACCAAGAAGGACAATACCTTAGGCCATCTGTTAAGCATTTCAACATGGAACAACATTTTCACTGGCTAAAATCTAATTTTAAGTTTCTCCTCAAATGAAGGTTTTGCCTTACCATAGAAAAAATATAAAAAGATTATGAATTTACAGTTTGGAAAGATTTTGTGTTTCTAAAGGAAAGGGGATATAATTAAGAAGACTTCCTCATGATCTCTTTTGGGTGACAGCTGAGAATCTATTTTTAAGCTACAATGAAATTTGGAAAGATGCTACCTGAGCAGTTAATGTGTCATAACATTATTAAACTCCCAATGCCACCCTTCAAATGAGGTCTTTATTTGTATTAAGAAAACAGTAAGACTAAAGACTATTTTGAATATTTATACCATGCATGTTAAAAATTCTCTGAAGCATTCAAATGATTTGACCCAGCAATCACAATCAAGTAGCTATACTTAAGGATATATTTAAAAATATGAAAACTCTATAGGCTAATTATTATCCTTTACAATATCATTCACAATGGTGACTCAATGTAAGTGTCCAAATTCAGAAAATTACTTAGGAAAGGTTCAGTACATAAGATAAATGGGCTATCAAAAAAACTAATACAAATGATTTTAACAAATAAGGTAGTAATAGCCCAGCACTAGATTAGGTTAAAATTCAGATGATGGCCATAACGAAATACACCTACTGGAAAATAGGTAGGAAGGAAAGAGTATTGTCACTTGAGTAAACAGGGTGAAGGGAATATTTGTTCCTTCTGGTCCAGAAAATGTCTTTAGAGTCACATTTATCTGTATTCCATATCCAGATCAGCTGTTTATTACCTGGACTCTTGGGAACTATTTCTTCTTCTCTTACACCGGATTTAAAATCTCTAAACCACAGGCATTGTTGCTACTAAGAGATAACCTGGCAAGTGCTTGATATTTGTAGTGAATAAAATTAAGGACAAAAGAAATGATAAATCCTGGAATTCTAGAAAACAATCTTGACAGGGAAAAATAATTCCATGAATTTAAAAGGAAGGAGGGTATAAGCAATGAAGTCACAAGTACTATAATACAATAAAGAGTTCATTTGGAGCTGCAGTGAAAATGAGCAGAAGTAAGATGATTGGCCCTAAATGTCTTATAAAGGTAGAAGCCCCTCCAGCAATGATTGTTTCAAAACCCAGAAACTAATATTCCTGCATATGTTCAGATGTATTATTAGGAATTTTCTGCTCAGCACAGCAAACACACAATTGTGCTGACAGAGCTTAAGTTTAAAGAAAGCTTTTTGGCGCTTTGTGGCATCCAACTATGGCTTTTTAACACAGGACATTTTAAAAAGGATGGTGATTTGCTATTTTCAAAAAAAAAAAAAAATGAATCATTCAATGAAGAAACAAGAAATGTGGTCCCTTCCCCACTCCAAATTCTACTTCTCCTGACCTTCCCTAACAGCTCCTAATCTTGGTAGAAGGGAAAATAAAGAGGTTTGTTACTCAGATGAACCCAGTCCCTGCCCCCCCAGTAACCCTGAGCTGAGCTGAAGGGAAGTGACAAGTTTGGGACCTCACAGTCCTCATCTATAGAATCTAAATGGGGTTCTTTGTGTACTGGAGAACAGATGTGGCAGATGCCATGCCCTCCTGCCCTGGCTCCCTTTTGTCTTCTGTACCCCAATTTTTCTCAGCATCTTAACACCTTTTCCCCACAATTTTTATTTCTCCAATGATTTCCCTCTACAAATGCCAGGTTCTTAAATGCCTTCTACATATTCCCACCCCATCCATTCCATTCCATTCTACTTTCCCCCACATCTCACGTGTACACATATTATGACTGACAACAATGGTATCATCAGCCCTTTCTTTCCTTCAAAGAAAAATGTTTGTTGCTTCAAAGATGGCAAGTTGAAGAAAGTCTGGTGACGTATCCTGTTCTTTTGGTTTGGGCATCAAGAAAGTTCAGATTTTTGACAGAAAACTCAGGAATTCTCTGTGGCCAAGTTTTTAACCAGGAGGTTAAAACATTGCAAGAGAAAAAACAAAATGAATAAATAAAATGCTGAGCTGTAATGTAAAAAAAAAGAAAGAAAGAAAGAAAGAAAAAATTGGAGGAAGTCTTGACATTTGTTCTCAAATTTAGCTGCAATTCTGAACTTCCTGAGGACTGATTATTTTATTAGGTTCTGTGAGATCATCCAAAATCTATCCAGGAAGGCCTTTATTTCACTCACTTGAATTGGGATTTTACTTTCAACTAGCAGAATACTAACTTTTTGCAAAATAGCATTATAAAATATAGAACAAAATAAAGCCATCTTTTTTTTTTCCTTATAAGCTACACTTTAAAATATTTTAAAACCTGGAGAAGTCAAGCATGTAGAAAGAGGGATCTTGGAGAAAGTTATAAGAAATACCTACCTGGGTACTTTGAACTTATCTTTAGTCATTTTCATTTAGTGGTGTTAATAAACTCAGTTTACCACAAAAATATAAGCTAAAAATTCATTTTATTATGGTCACTCAAAAAAGACAAAGATGTCATTCTGGGAGAAATCTGGGTAAGGGAAAATCTAATATTCCTAGAAAAAGAAAATAAAAGAAAGCTCAGGGCTACCAGAGAGTTTGGTTTATTTGTTCAACATATACTGTAATTAGAAAAACTCATCTATAAATTAGACACTCAAAAGAAAAGAGGAGCTGTCCTAACATGCTTACTTAAGGAGGATGTTTTTATGAACACAATTTCCATATTCTTTAATCAGTTCATTTTAACTAGTGCTTTGTTTCTTTTTCTCTCTACTTGGCATAAACTGAGCAATTAAGACAGGAAATCAAAAAGAGAATAATGAAAAGATACAGAAGTAAAATGTCCATTAAATATGAAAGTAGACATGATTATAGTGTGAGGTCATTAATTCAATTTGTTAGTAGATAATCACTTAGAAACCTATTTTCTAAGCTCCTAACTGTTGCACAGATAGCTGGATTCAGTTGGACATGATTGATTTAAGCACAAAATGATTAACACAGAAAGCTTTCAACAGGAACACATCAGTTTTCTTCAAAATTTCAAGAAACTAAATGAGCTGCCCTGGGGATGCTTGACAGCAAAGGAGTAGACAATGGTGTAGAACTGTTAGCAGCTGTTTACCTCTATAATAAGCAGTGTGTGAAAGGTGAAAGGAAGGAAGGGTTGAAGGAAGAGTGTTGAAGAGTTAGGAATGGAAGGGGAAAGCAATTTATGTAATGGTGACTACAGTCATATCAGAGAACTTACATTTTGACCCAAATCTAAACTTCCTACAAAAGAGAAGGATAACTGCTAGTAAGTCTGTGGACAATCCAGTCTAGAGAGAAGTGGGAAGAATATTCATTCTGAGTGGCTCATAGATTTCATCGGTGGTCATACCCAATACATACCCATCGGTGGTCTGTTTGGTGATGTGCTGGATTGTTCACAAAGATAAATTGTCTCTCTTAAAGGCTGAGGCATCGCTAGGGACACAGGTCAATAAAGTGTTTCTAAACAAGGTAAGGGTTTTACAGGATGCTGGGGAATTGAGTCACTAGAGGCAGAAGTGTCTAGCGTTTAAGTTAAGTCTAGTTTCAAGCATCCAGTAAGCCTGCTTTCTACAAAATACACTTTCTCCAGTGACATAAGTAAGAAGAAAAAGACCCCTGTAGTTTTTCTCCAGACAAGGTCAGAAAGTTATTTCCCTAACTCAACTTCTAATTGGAGCCAGGATTTTCCAGCTGGCTGAGACCTGGGAAAATGTTACGGAAACAGTGGGATTCCAGATAGTTCTGCAAAATGCAGGCTATCGATTTGTACTTCAGAAAATTTCACAGAAGAAATATCAATCTTTGGCTTCTTAAGCAAAAAGCAGATTAGTGAATTGTATTCATAGCAAGTATTATGACTACACATGACTGCAACTTCCAAGTTTATAGTTAGTACTCTCGCCTGATTCAAGACTTCTAAGTCTGCCTGCTTGACAGTTCCACTTGAGTATCAGTTTTTTCAAACTTTGTGTGTCCAAACCTAAATTCTGATCTCCTATCTCACCTCTTGCCCCCATCTGCTCCATCCACATTCTTTAGTCTCAGAAGATAGCAAGTCTTTAGGTGCCTCTGTGTATCAAGAGACCCCCAAAGAGGAAGCCCCCACAGACATATAGCACACATCTGAGCTATGAGCAAATCACTCCTGTCCCGTCCTGCATCGAACCACTTCTTATTTTGCAAGTTAAAGCTGTGAACAACCCAGGTTAGAGTGAATTGGGGAAAAGCATCATCCCCAGTGGTCCAGGGACTTCATCAGAAGTCAAGTTCAATCTGTAAAGGAACTACTGGCAGAAATGTCTGGGGATATCTGGCAACATTGGACTACCAATATCTAACTAAAACAACTGTAATTGTCAGCTAACTGGTTTCCCATATTACTATTATCCCCTCTGTCAATTCCCAACACAGGAGTCAGAGAGACTCTTTTAACACCTAAGGTGGGTCATAACGAAACCCTCTGTATCTCCCTGCTTTATACAAGGTGAAGGCAACATGAAATGACCTACTAGTTCCTATTGATCTGAAATCCTATTGATTCTCTAAACTTACCCTACACCTCTCCTTTTCTGTATCTACCCAGTCTTGTCTCCTCCTCCCAAATGTACACAAGGGATGTACCTTTGCCTGGTCTTTGCTTTCTTCCACCAGGAATGTTCTTCCTCATAGCCTACTCCTTACCTTCTTCTATGCCTTCTCAAAGAAGCATATTGCTATAGGCTATTTAAAATTGCAGGTCTTGCCTCCTCATGTCCTCCACCCCCA